CGGTGAGAAATTAAAATAATGTATAAGTCATGTGTATGAACCCAAAAAGAAAATAAATTCATTCAGCACGGTCGGTCGTTAGCTTGGTACCAGGCGAAGGACGCTTGCGCAAGAAATCTAAAAACGTTAAATGTTAGCCCACTTAGTTCCCGAGTTATTTATGGTCAATAACCAGACCGAGACGCTAAGTGCTTAAATAACAAAATTTTGAAATAGTGCCTAATTAATTAAATTATGAAATATATTGGTAAGTAATACATAGGTAAGTTATTAATGTAAAACCCACAAGAAGATTCTGTGCACAAAAGTATAAATATTATTGAGAATACCTTGAGAACATTCGTTTAACAGTGAATGTTTAATTTAATAAATCAGCAGACACAGTGCACATATGAAACCTTCATTATAATATAAAAAAAACTGATAGTAGGGTGTTTCCATTGACAGCATAACCGTCTTTCTATCCAGAAAAAGAACCATCCATGTAAAATCAGCTATAAGTAAGCCAGGTGGCTAATAAACCAATGTTCCGGTCAACCGATGTACTGTGTCCCCACGATTGCGTCTACGTTGATCTTTGGAGTGAAATACCCTCCGGGTAAACCCTTAAAATATTACAAAATGTGTCAATATAAATTGACTCAAATTTCCCAAACTATACAATTAATGTTCCCAAAATGAACCTAAGCTAGAAACTATTAGCAAGAATCATAAACAGTATAATGAACTCAAATAATTAAAATTTTGGTACACTAAGCCATAACATAAAAGAAATCATTAAAAGGTGTACAATATTACCAAATATATGCAAAACATACCTTTTTTGTAAAGGATTACACTGGTAGCATTCCAAGTGTAAAGAAAAACGAGACAGCAACCACATTTAAAGAATCCACTTCAATATTACACCCTCAAATGCCGATTGATCTCCCTATATGAAACAACGAACTAATAACTCAAAATCTACTGATATTAGTCATACTCACAATTTTTTATGTCCATAAATCCCTTTAGCGGATGTAGATTGGGTCCAAAAACATGCGAATTTATCAAAAACACTAATTCTCCTAAAATTACCCGTTCTTCCACAATTAAAACTGAAGTAAAATCTAAAATTTCCTATAATAGGATAACTCGATGGTAATATAAAATAAAGATTTTACCCTGAGACAAAATTTGAGGTTCTCTGCCTTTTTTCACCTGTCAGAAACACCTAACCAACCAATATGGCACGATGTCTTCACTTCTGCTTTGAAAAATGACAAGCCGAGTGGGCTCAGAAATTCATCCTTAAGAATTTATCAGCATATATCTTAAAGACTATTTACGAAAGATTACCCTACAAACTATATCTATATACAATATAACTACATTTGGAAATTGTTACTGACAAAAATAGATATCACGTCGATCGCGAAAAATCTTCTAAGCGCGTACAACCCTACAGTTAAACGATTTAAAATCACTCTCTGCGGAGCTACAATTAACTGGAACTCGGAACCAGAAATGGAACGACTCACAACACACGACTATCGTGTCCCGTCGTTGACTGATATTTACTTGCCAACTCGCACTGAAATTCGTACTGTCAAAATTAAAACAATAACATTGAATTAAAATAATTACTCTGAACAAAAATTAAATAAATTCGATGAAATTGGGATCGTAAATAATTAATTACTGAAAGATAAGGTTATAATACATAACATATAAATAAACTCACAACGAGACTGTCTATTTTTAGGAGAATCTAACACATTGTAACAAACCAGTTGGGTAAAAACTACAAAAATGTACAACTCAGATAATAAGAACAAAATACGATACCCCTGTCCAGTGATAAGATGAATTAAATTATAGAAATGATATCTGAAGGCTTACAATACATACAGCCAGTTTACGACAAAAATAATGACGTTAAAAGCATATCAACAATAAATAACGTTTTACTTTTTTTCCCTATATTTAAACAAGGTGGGTCGAATTTTTCTCTAGTAATTTGAGCGGCTAAAAATGCACGTTACATCTTAAGCCGACAAAACTTTGAAACGGTACTCGGTTAAAAGTTAAAATGCTTCATAAAAATTAAAAAGACCATTATTTTGACTAGATGCGCCCAAGATGAGATAGTAGATTTCTCAAGTAACCCGCGACCACCCTTTTAATACATACATGAACAATTAAATTCTTAGAATGAAAAAAATTAATAAGCACTCGTAAATGGCTTGTGGAAAAGTCCAGGTTAAAAATCCACATCTCGATTGATCCTAGAAAGCGTAATAAAATAAACATATTATTTTTTATTCCTTTCATTTGCTCAAAGTATTCTAAAACTAAAGCTAAAATATTCTGGCGGACTTAATGATAAATAACTCTTAATTCAAAGTGTGTAGTTATTTTTGAAAGTGCTAGCACAACACATTGAGTGTTAATTTCATTTGGTCTCGTTTGTAGGCGGCCTTTTCCTAACCTAATTCCATTAGTTGCGTCTCGACGTTTAATTTATAATGTTTTTCCAACCGCCGCTGTGCTGGACATATTTTCTTTGCGAATTTTACGCTCATTAAATGGTTCCAAAAAGGGTGGTTAACAAATGTATTGAATGTTATCGTTTTCAGGTAACACCTCCTTTATTTTAAAAAGTTAAAATATTAATTAAAATGTGCTTTCAATTATTTTTAGTTCAGTTAAAAATATATTTGCTAATTAATTGATTTATCGCTAATTAAAATATATCCTGAAATTGTAAATGAACTCGCACAAAGTAGAAATCATCAAATAAATATTATACTTATTTCAAATAATTGACAATTTTTTTAAATCAAATTATACAAATCGAAATTTCAAAATTAAATTAACGATATTTCGCGCATAATAAGCGTATAAAATAAATATAACCGATACATTAAAACCCATAAAAACAAATTCATTATATTTATTATTGCGATGTAATTGAAGCAACGAATACGCGGTTAATGTAGAAATTTACATAAGTTATGTATGACTGACATGAAAATTTTATTTCGAATCGTTCGATTTTCATCGTAATATTTTTAATAGGATTTCATATCGAACTGTCAAGTAAATATTTAATTATTTTATTCCATTGTTATCATATTCATAAATGTATATTTAAAAAAATTGGTTCAAATATTTACATTTTATTTAGTTGACAGAGAAAATGGGACGGTGATAATTGGATATATTCGCGTAGATGACACCACGATGCAAATAATTGATTGAAAGTTTTAAATAGGAAAGAAAACCAGAAAGTGATACTTGATTTAGTTTTAAGCATAAACATTCATATACATTATTTCAATGTACCTGTTTATGTACCTATTTATGCTAAAATTTACTTTGAAAATATAATTGCGTATGTGCGTTTAAAAAGTGAGATTAAGCTTGTTTCCTAACTTAAAACTCCTTTTTCTAATCTTTTAAATAATAAAAATTGTGCGATAGTTATTAGAGCCATTTCAGAAACAGCTATCATATATATTTTTTCCAGTTTTAATAATTTATTGCCTTTATAGACAGTTTTATTTTTAAAATCCTTAAATATATGTTTATGTTAATATCTATGTTATTGTCTATGATAATGTCTATGTTATTGTCTATGATAATGTCTATGTTAATGTCTATGTTAATGTCTATCTTAATGTCTATCTTAATGTCTATCTTAATGTCTATCTTAATGTCTATCTTAATGTCTATCTTAATGTCTATCTTAATGTCTATGTTAATGTCTATGTTAATGTCTATGTTAATGTCTCTGTTAATGTCTATGTTAATCTACGTTAATGTCTATGTTAATATTTATGGTATTGCCTATGTTAATAACTATATAAATCTCTATATAAATGTCTATGTTAATGTTTACGGTAATGTATATGTTAATGTCTATGTCAGTTAAACTAGTGTCCTAACTGAAAACTGTAAACCTCGTTTTCTAATCTTTTTAATAATAAGATTGTGCGGCAGTTATTAGAGCTATTTCAGTAATAGTTATCATATATATTTTTTCCAGTTTTAATAATTTATTGCCTTCATAGTTTTTTTTAAATCCTGAAATATATGTTTATGTTAATATCTATGTTACTGTCTATGATAATGTCTATGTTAATGTCTATGTTAATGTCTATGTTATTGTCTATGTTATTGTCTATGTTAATGTTTATGTTAATGTCTATGTTAATGTATATGTTAATGTCTATGTTAATGTCTATGTTATTGTCTACGTTAATGTCTATAAGGGTTATAATGGACAAGTAATGTTATTTTTAACAGGCACGTTATTTGTAAATAGGTTATTTCTGTGTGTTTATAAAATAACAGAGCTGTTAAAAATAACACAGGTTGTCAATCATAACCCTCTAAGTTAATGTCTATGTTGATGTTTACGTTAGTGTATATGTTAATGTCTATGTTATTTTCTATGTAAATGTCTAAGTTAATCGGGGTTATGATGTACATATAATGTTGTTTTTAACAGATACGTTATTTGTAAACAGATTGTTATATCTGTGTGTATATAAAATAACAGACCTGTTAAAAATAACACAGGTTGTCAATCATAACCCCCATTGGGTGCTATGATTGAACGTTTACGTTATCCGTAACGTACATGTTAGGCCGAATTTTAAAAGTAACGAGGCAAGTTCGGATGATGGAAAACTATTAAATTAGAAGATAACAGGCGGAAAATAACAGTAACGTGTTGGAAAAAGTTTTCCATCATACGAACTTGCCTCATTACTGTTAAAACTCTGCCTAACATGTACGTTACGGATAACGTAAACGTTCAATCATAGCACCCATTGTCTATGTCTATGTTATTATATGTTAATATCTGTTATTTTGTATGTTAATGGCTATGTTAACGTTTATGTTAAAGCCTAAAACTAAATCAGGCTGACTAAACGGTACTTAAGGTGACTATAAAACATGAAACTGAAGCTTATTTTATACTAGTAGCTACTAAAAAGGGTAAATCTTACCTGTTTGGTAACAGAGTCAATGAGGCGAACGTATATATCTTGTTCTTGTCGAACACCTGTAAAGAAAAAAAAAAGTGGTCAATAATATTCAAAAAAATAAGTATAAAATAATATGGGAAAAAAATAATGTCAGTTGATTCAGCTTAACTGGTGATATATTACCAAAGCAACAACTAATTTTTTTTTGGAGGAATCATTGTCTAGAGTTTTTAAATTAACTAAGAACTACTGAAAATAGCATTATATCAGCATTACTGTTCAGCATAGAGCATAATATAAGACTATAAGTATCTTTAATGATATATTATATATAAGAAGGGTCAATTGTGAATAATATAATAATAATAATAATAATACTCTCCCTAATTCACCCCCTTACGAGTGAATTTCAACCCCTGAAGTCGACTGAACGACTTGTGTAGGGGAAGGGACGGCTATTATTATTATTTGCCGTGGCGCTCCGGGGCGACTTAAAGATGATTGATGGTGCCATTTGACTTACAGGTGAGGAAAACCCAGAAAACCTCACCCACCATCATCGAGACGGTAATGTATGGCGAATTTTTTTAATCTGCATGCCATATCAACAGAAATTGAATTTCTATTAATACGCCACACATCAAATCCTAAACCGAACCATGCAATTTAATTAAAAATCCACATGGTCTGGTCTGGGATTCGAAACCCAGCAGTCTTAGACTCATAAACTTGCCTATAAATGAATATAAGCGCGATAGACCGCTACACCACCGTCCACCGTAAGATTTTTGATGACTCTATTGAAAGACTGTGTATTCTTGGTAAAATAGCAAATATAATACAAAAAAAAATTCTAATTTAATTTATAGTACTCAAACAGTTATATGTTGCAATGATTTTGAAAAGATGATCTTAAAGAAAATGTTAATAACCATTTTTATTACCAATTTGCCCATTTAACCTACACTTATGAAATTAGAATACTGTTAGTGAAACTTCTGCCGGATTCCTTCTACGAGTTTATTATTACAAACTATGCAAGCTTTCTACATTATTTCATTTATATGTATAATAGAAATAGTCAAATTTTAAAAAGATACACTTCTTTAAAGTTAACTGTAAAAGAAACAAGAAAACCTGATCTTTTGAAACTCGAAAACAAGACGCCAAAAAAATGTCTTCACCGTTTTACCTTCCCAATTCACTATTCATACATAATAATTAGGTGCCACAAACTAACGACAATGTTCGCGATTTGTGATGACACAAATACTTTTTGGACCTGGCCCTTCTATTGGCCTGACAAAATCGGTAGTGACAGACCTAAACAAAGAATATTCCCTTGCGAAATTCAAGGAAAGATGGGATCAAACAAGAAACTGCAGAGTTGCCAGATAGCTCCTGCAGCAAACAAATACTTGACTATGACTAGACAGAATCTGCGCCTAGTCACAGGCATTCTGACTGGTCATTGCCAAGTACGAAAGCATCTCCATATCATGGGGCTGTCAGAATCCGCACTCTGCAGAGGGTGCGAACAAGAAGATGAGACCATCGAGCATATCCTTTACGATTGCTCGACGCTCTCATTTAGTAGAAGATTTGTGTTAGGCGAGTATCAGCACCTCTTGGCGACGTTGTCAACTACATTAAATCTGTAGGCTGGCTCACGAGCAAGGAGGTGCCTATCTTCTCAGGAGAATGCACAATAAGCCTAATGAGGCCTAAGTGCCGTGGGGTAACCCACCCTCAACACATTACAGTTACAGATATAGAGATGGAGTGCGAGGAACAGCTCATGAGTGGGTTTCCTCTCATTTGTATGATAGACTTCGACTTCAATCTGCTAAAATCTTAAAATTTAAATCGACTCAGATGATGTATAAAAATGGGACTCCAAGGAACAATATTGGGCCTTTTAATATGCATTCTGTGAATTACCTCTTCTCTTACCGGAGTCGTCTATATTCTAATAACTCGGCGTAATTATTTAGAGGCAAATGTTTAGATCTCCTAAGAAATAAAATATCAAATCTAAGAACCATAACATTCGCAAACATTTGCTTTAATTTTAGATAAAATTGTATATTTAATAAAATGATCCAAACTTTAAACTGTATCGAGTAAAATGTAAAATATACCAAGATAAGAAAGCAATTCAGGCAACTTTTCACGGCCATCTTCCCCCTGTCCCCTCGTTCAATCTTTTCATCAAAACAAGTAACTTTCGGCCATCAAAACCGTCACGCGCTCCTTCTTTGGTCCTTGGTCCTGCGCTACCCCACGTATCCTGCCTCGTAAAACATTAAAATGATAATAGCAAAGTTTACGGCCACGTCAAACTATCTCGATACTAAGAAGCCGACCCCTCCCCAACCCCTATTCGCACAAGACACATTCGATAAGAAAATGTCAGTGACGTGGAAAAGGAAAGAAGCCAAAATTATATGGAAATGGTTAAACAAGATTAGGATAGGTATGTTGGCTTGTGATACCTCACTAGTATAGTCATCTGAGAGACGCCTAGATATGTATTCAAGATATGATACATAGTTTCATAAAATGCTAAAATAATATTGAAAAACCAACACTGTTTTTTAAGCACATAACTGTAGCATGTTTAGCAGTCCAATTATCACATTTCATTTTTGAGATACTACATTTACAAGAAATGTGACCAATTTTTTAACACATATGACAGAAAGCGTTCTGTAATTAACCCGTTATTTTTCAATAAGCGATCATTTTAATGCTTCAGTACGATGAATGCGTAAATTTTCCAGCAACTGTTGATGTATCTGTAGAAGTCGACTTTGAAATTACTTTTTTGTATCTTCTGAAAATTTAAACCAGATGTAGCTAGGTTTATTTCATCTTCCTTTTCTACTTCTTTTTTCAAAAATAACATCCATATGCCTCAAAGGTTATTTTTTATTTGAATTAGAAAAAAATTCCAAATTGCTTGGCTGAGGACGTCAAATTTCTTTAGGAAAACATGGCTGCACAATTATCTAAAAGTACACCATGTGCTTCTAGAGAATCCAAACTTTCGACTACATTACTGTAATTCTCACAGGTTGGAACTGTTGTCTCAATTAAACCTGAAATTTATATTTAATATCTAGTATTTTAATTTCATGTATCTGGCTTTAATCGGTAATTTGTTTTCCTAACGTTTTTAGTTCAATAACTAGGAGTTTCATTTTATGTTTAGTAGAACTAAACTGACTAAATAATTTATTTCTATTTGCAAAATCTTTACTTACTACCTTAATTTTTAAGTTTTAAGAGTTGCTTGTCAAATAATACATTCAAATCCGCACGTATTAATGTTAATAGACAAGTTAAGCTTGCACATTCTCAATATGCTGAAAGAATGGAAAATAGTATTCAGGAAAACCCTCAGAAATTTTGGACATACGTATAAAACTATTTTAAGAACTCCTCAAGCTTTCCATCTTCAGTACAAATTAATAATGATGCATTGGATAATCCATTAGATATTGTGCAGGCATTTGCAGAGCATTTTTTAAACAATTTTACATTACCAACACGTACTATTGCATCTGTTCAATCAACTTCTGTAAATTTACCTATTTTATCTATAAATCATGTATCTGCTAAAGAAGTGGTAGACGCCACAAAAAGATTAAAGCCAAAAATGACAATGGGACCTGATTATATTCCTTCCTTCTTCTATAAAGATTGCGCACACATTCTTTCGACCTCATTGTGTACTATTTTTAATTTAATATTGAAAACAACCATGTTTCCTGATCTATGGAAATCTCGATGGAAATTATCTCGCGTTACATCAGTTTATAAAAAGGGAACCAAAGATCATCTTGACAACTATAGACCAGTTAGCATACTTTGTAATTTCTCCGAAGTATTTGAAATCATTATTCATACATACTTCTAGACATCTTTCGGGTTCATTATCGTAATTCCAACACGGATTTATGAAGGGTAGGTCCACTGTATCGAATCTTGTGTGCAAAACACAATTTTTGGCAGAGACTTTAGATAGAAGAAGTCAGGTCGATTTTATCTATACCGACTTTTCTAAGGCATTCGATAGAATTGATCATCAAATCCTATTACAAAAATTAAAGTCTAAGGGACTATCTGATCTTCTTTTACTTATCGATTCTTACTTAGAAAATAGACGTCAGTACGTGCAACACCAAGGATTTAGATCAAACCATTTTAAGCAAATTTCAGGTGTACCGCAGGGTTCGGTCCTTGGGCCCCTTCTTTTCATAGTTTTTATTGATGACATTATTGGCAAAAGCACAGAAGAAAAATACTTAATGTATGCTGATGATTTAAAATTTTTTGCTGAAATACGGAACTTTGTTGATTGCACAGCTTTACAAAGTTGTTTAGCTGAATTATTGCTATGGTGTACTACAAATTATTTGCATTTGAATCCTGGTAAATGTAGTGTTATGACATATACTAGGAAAAAATCATATTTCACCTTTGATTATCAGATCAATGGCACTGTGTTAAGTAGGCCGGAGTTTAAAAAGGATCTGGGAGTCCATTTTGACAAGGAATTAACTTTCAATTTAAAAATATACATACAATGAAGTTATTATATATTAGTTTTGTTAGATCTAGACTTGAGTATGCGTCAGTTGCGTCACTTAACATTTATAGTAGCCCTATTGAAACGGTGCAAAGAAAATTTATGAAGTCCGCATCATATCTTCTAGACAATATCTATCCTGATAGAGGATTTCCTCATGATCAACTGTTGTCGTGCTTTGGTATATTGGAACTGCACATACGCCGTAAAATGCAGCTAGTTTCATTCCTATGGAATATTTTACATAAAGGACTAAACTGCATTGAGTTTCAGGATTATATCAACATTAAGGTACCCCGCCCTGGCCTTAGAATATACTTAACCTTTTACTTGCCAGCTGCAAATACAAATATTTTGAACGGTTCTCCAGTTTTTCAAATGATCAATAATTATCATCGTCTTCAAGACAGTTTGGATATTTTTAGTTGTAAGAAAATAGATATTTTTAGAGCTATTACCATAGAAACTGAGTAGGTGTTTATC